AATCACTTGTGTCTTGTGTCTAGTATAAACATTTGTGTTGGTCAGGTTGATGTGAGTACCCAGAAGGAGTATATGTGGTGAAAAATGATAAAGCTGAATTGGAACGGATAGAGAGAGAATCATATCTTAAGTATTGGGCTGAAACATCATACACAAATTGCATTTTGAGTGTTCCTTAGATCTCACTATTAGGGATTTTTGGTGAGTGTTGACAGAAGGTATGCATGAAAAGGAAAGACTGCGGAGACATGGAGAACAAAGAACAGAGAAATACGAGTGGGATGCCAGTAACATGGGAATGAGGTGAGTACAAGACAAAGTGTGGAAGATGCAGACTGTCACAGGTGGAAATCTCTGTGGCCATCTTTGACTAATAGCAAGCCTAGAAGACTCCTCATAAAAAATAGAAGAATTTTCTTTGAAATTGGAACTGAAATAAAGAGTACTTTTAATACACACGGCATTTTATAAAAATACTTGGAGTTTTTTTCCTGAACATAGATGATAAAAAGTATCAGGTGTCTGGTGATATGTAAGAACTTCTTTTTCTGTCCCATTCCCTTTTCACTGTACATGTCACTGAAAGCTCACACAGATATAATGCCTTATGGAGGGGACTCTCCTTAGTGAAGGTCCTAGGCTGTGTCAGTTTGTCATTCATACTGTCCCACTCCTACTAGATTATCTTCTAATCTAATATAAATGTGGGGGTTCATTAAAAACAGTAATAACAATAACACACACACACACACACACACACACACACACACAATCTCACAATCTGCCTAAAATATCTTCCAATTTCAAAAATATTTGAGACTAAAAATGAAGGTTCTGGTAAGAATCCCCTTCACTTGCTATCCTTAAGCAAGAAAAGAGTCATGAAGAATTCAGCAAATTTCCTCTTCCACCCTATTTCCCAGCCAAATCTATTTCCAACTACCTGTCTGATTAATTCATTCTCACCCTAGCCTTCATCTTATTCACCTTAACTGGTAGTAATGTGTGTAGGCTGAATTAATATACTTTCTAATGTAATTTCAGAGGTTCATATTTATAATGTTGTAACACGGTGCTCTGCAACATCACTTAGTCCAGTGGTATTTTTCCAGCTCCTTGCAGCATAAACTTCACAGTGGCACTCATTTCACTTGGAGACTGGTTGACAAAATGTCAGCTGTTGAATCAAGTAAACTCACTACAAATTTGTGTGGTTCTGCATTCATCTGCATTAATTTTCACCAAATTGTACACTTTTATTGGTACAATGCCATTCACAGTAATTACTGTTCTATTTAACTTTGTATACAGTTGGCATTATGGCATAAAATATATACTGGAACTACATTACATTCAAATCTTAACCTGCTTATGCATTTAATAGACATTAATATTAAAAAGTGCATTTTCTTGAGGAAAGGCAGTAGTGATAATAAGTGATTTATCTTGGTTTATGTTGCATCAGGAGATTTTTCATGCTTCACTTGTCAAATATTTGCTATTTATGAATTTATTTTTCCTTTCATGAGATTTCTCAGATTGACTGGCATGTGCTTCTTAATTTCATATCACCTTAAACAGATTTTTGGCAAATGCTAATATTAAAAGTTAATTGTAGCTTCTAATTAATTGTAAAAAAATTAATTGTAAAATTAATGTAAAAATTTTTGTAAAAAAAATTGTAAAAAAAGTTAATTGTAGCATCTAAATTAGCATAACTGAAATACTGTGAGTCCTTTCTGGAGAAAACTGATGCAATTTTAGGGATTTTTTTTTAACTGAAATTGTCTTTTACCTCAGCTTTGAAAAAATTGTCAGGACAATGAAAAAAAATCTTTGAAAAAATCTTTACAGGACACAGGTCATGTGAAAGGTATAACACTTATAGTAAGATATTCATAATTCTTTTCTTTCAGCCATTATGTACACAATATTTCCAGAAATGACAATGCTGGAGTTCAGTCACTTGCCAAACAAAAAAAAAAGAAAAAAAAGAAAAGAAGGCTCAGGACACAACACCATTATTTTTTCAGTAAGTAGAAATTTTCCTTGTGCAATCTTTCTGGAAGTCAGGAAGTATCGGTTGTTGTGTGATATGATATCTTTATTGCAAGCACAGTACTCAACCAATGTTTTTTGTTACTGATACAGAGTCAAGTTATTGGAAACTATGTAAGGGCTTCCATAAAGAACACACAAGAAAATGGACTCTGATAATAAATACATATATGCAAATGTATTCTTGTACAACTACATATTTTGTACATGAGCTCATGTATACTCAGTGGATTCTTGGTTTATTGTACAGGTATTGGTGTACCTATAGGAAATTCGTGATTGTCAGTCCCCTCCTCTGTCCTCTCTGTGTCCTGCTGAAATATTAATGAATCACACAATAATTCCCTGATATCTATCATTTGATACCCTGCCAACTTAAAAAAATTCCGTAAGCAGTCACAAGTACACTTTTAACTATTAACTTCTTGTTGTTTAAAAGAAATACAGTGTTAGCATTTTAACAGTGTTTTAGACCTTGTTTTTAGAACATGGTGCTGACAACTTTTTTTCCTTAATACTGGTTTCCTCCATCAGCAAACTCAGAATTGGCATGTAACTTTGGTTACTGTTGACATGGGTAGAACATTGCCTACAGGCAATCAGAGGCATGATCTCAACTGCTGCTCCTCCAAGCCTTTGCTTATCTCTAGAGAAGATCCACTGGAGAAGGCTTTCTCATTTTTCTAGCTCTGCTGCAGGTAATCTTGGTCTATGACACATTTAATAATAACCATCTGGACAACATGGCTAGCTTCAGCACTTTCAATAGAAAGATTTTTTCTAATCTGTCAGCATTTTTTGGAACTAGATTTGGGAAGAATCATGAATATAAGATGGAACACTGGTGCCCTTTTATTAGCTGCAGCTGAAATGTTTAATTGTGGTATGAAGATACTTGGAATAAGTTGTGATAGTAAAAACACTGCTGACAGCTTGTCTCTACTGAAGTTTGTGGTTCTCCTAACAGCAGCAAACAGAATTCATGTTAATGACTAGGAACTAATACTCTCCACGGGGCTCAGCAACAAGTTACACAGACGATCAGCAGCTACCTACTTCCAGCTACAGTTTTCTCTCTCAACTGGCTATCCACAAAAATGTTACTTAGGCATTGGCTACAGCCACTTGTACAACAGTCACAAAACTTAGGAGCAAACAACATTTGGGTGCCCAAGTCATGCTCTGAAAAAGATAAAGAAATGTAGATAGAATTTGTTGTTAGACACTGAAGAATTCTTCAGGTCTTTGTCTACAACATTTACTGAATGTGAAGGAGATATTTTGCTATCTGTCATGCTTTCTAAAAAGAGTTGCCAATTCTGTCTTCAGATTTGCTCCCACTTAGAAAACTTGCCACATAATTTCCTTTCACATAAATAATGAAGAAGGAAAGAAAGTCCCCAAGATGTTCATTGCTTGAAGACAGTTGGTCCAATTTGGGGCCTGCACTTGCTTTGAGGTAATAATGACAATAACATTCCATGGAAATGTATAGATTTAATTAACTAGCTAATTTATTTATGGAGTGTCTGTGCAGGACAGATGACTATGAAAAAGTATGTAGGTTTTCTCTTTAGTGATTGAAATAATAAAAATAATTTCTCTGTCTTCCAATAATTTTAAAGGAGTTAAAGGAGTCCTGTTCATTTTTTACCTCTGATAAAACCAGCTGTTATGTTAGGAAAACAAACACAGAGAGTCACAGAAGGAGCAGACTGCACACAGATTGTTTTGGAGCACACAAGAGCGGAGAGGAGTTGCTGCTGCCGTTGTGGGGGTTTGTGGAAGGGCGCCCTCAGCTCTACCCGTCAGGAACAAGATGTTTTGTTGTCCTTTTACAAGGATGATGAGGTGCAAGGTGATGATTATCATGGGTCCTTCTGCCTGCAGCACCATGGTCCCGTGATGTCGTGGACCACGCAGGATAGCAGGCAAATGTTATCAGCAGGAAAACAGGCTTTAGGGGGAGAGTAGAACCTCCTAAAAGGTCTTACGGTGTAAGCATTAAAAAAAAAAAGAAAAAAAGAAGAAGAAGAAAAAAGCCAGATAGCTTTTTTAATACAGCACATCTTAACAAGCAACTGCAAGCAGACCTATGCGGAAAGCTGAATGTTGCATGCTGCTGTCCTTTCCCCGAGCACCGTGGGAAGAGGTGCTCTCTGGTGGACAGAAGGAAAAGCTGGTCTGAGAAACATGCTGCTGTGCCCTCGCTGAGCTAGATCGAGCTCAGAAAGGGACTCGAGGCTAAGAAGCGGAAAAGAGTGCGTTTCCTCTGTGACAGCCTGTCGGGAGAGTGAGGCTCAGGGAGGGAGGCTGATACAAAAGCATCCAAAGCGCCCGAACGGAGACCGGTGGATGTCCCGCGCACCCGCTCCGGTATGGGCGCGCACCCCGGGCTCCCCTAGGACATGCCCGCGGGAGCGTCCCAGCGCCGGCTCCGAGCGCCAGCAGCTCCGAGCCGCTGCTGTTCGCTGACCAGCTGCCCTCGGCCGCACGGACACAGCCCAGAGCCTGCGGCCGGCCCCGCGGCCGAGCGGAGCGGAGCTGCCCGCCGACCCCCGGGCGCTCTGTCAGTCAGGGCATCGCCGTCCCCGCACGGCAGCCTCTGCGGGAGCGGCGGGAGGCTCCGCCTCCCCCCGATCGGGAACAGCCTGATAAAGGCAGGTGCGGGCGAGCAGCGGGACCCCAGCTCAAAGCATCTGCTTGTGCACGGAGCCCCTGACCCATCCTTTGCCACGCCGCGTGAGGCGACGCCTGGGGCAGGCGGTGCGGGACGGGACAGGAGGGGACCCTGCCGCCGCCGGCCGCGCGCGCCGCTGTCCCGCCGTCCTGAGCCGTCGGGCGCGTCTCCGCCAAAGGACAAGGACCTCGCCCCCAAGGACCTCCGAAGAGGCGGGATCTCTCCGGGAAGGGGAAGCAGGATTTTGTTGTGTGGCTTGAAGATGAGGCAGGTATCTGGAGTGGCGCTCCTCCTGGGGCTGATGGCTCTCCCAGCGGCGCTGGGACAGAGAAGTTCGGAAAGCCCTAAAAATAGCAACCAAAGCTTTGCCATCGTCTCTTTCAAATGGGATCACGTCAAGGAGCCGTATATCATTGCACTCTGGATACTTGTGGCCAGCTTGGCCAAAATCGGTGAGTCTGAGGTTACATATTAATACGTGTCCTCTCCCTTTCCCTTCCCCCTTGCCCTTCTCCCACCCAACGTAAATGAAGAAAGCTTATCATAGGTCCGCTGACCCGTTTTCTGGGGGTTTACTGTACTCTGTCCTGATTTCATAATACTGCCCTACACGGTGCTTAGCAGTGTGATTTTCACCAGCCTCGAGGGGTTACCTGGTTCATTTTCACCGCCCACGACTATGGCTTCTGCATCTGACTTCTTATAAACCCTTTCAATTCCTTGAGACCTTGTATTCCTCTTGCTCCCAGGAAAAAGCTTTTTTGCAAAAGTGAAACAGAAATCGGGCCTTCCTGCTTACACAATATCTATTGCACTTTATGATATGTTTTTCTCCTGCCTGTGGTTATTAGCTATATCAGTTGGTATCATCAAAAATAACCAGTGCAAACTGCACATATGAACTTAGCGCTCTCTGCTTTGAAGTACATTGCTGGATTAGTGAAAGAGCATCGTTTTTAGAGAAGGGTAACACATATTATCAGTCCATCTGATGTAGCTGAAGAAAATACAAGCTTTAGAGCACCCAGAATTTTCTTCAAGAAATTGGAATAAGTGAAAAGTCAGGACTTAGCTTAACATCAGTGTAGTTTAAATGAATTTATATGAATGCTCCAGCTCTTGTGTTCTGAGCTTTGTGACTTTTTGCAAAAGCGATCTTGTATCAATAATGCAGTTTGCTGAACGAGAAAAGTCACTGTTTAATTAGAATGTATTTTACTTGATTGATGCTATTACTTTCAGACCTTTTGCCTTTGGATCTAAAAACACACCTCCACTTCGGCTGACACTATAAATGCCATTTTCATTTAAAATAAATCTTTTCTATAATCAATCTCATCTCAGAAGGTCAGTTGAAAATCGTACTGAAGACTTTGCTGGACTTGTATTGTTAATACTAATTTGGTATACCAGAGTCACATTCCATAGATTTTTCATGCCACAGAGAATGAAATATGTAAAAAGGTATACTTAGGTATATTCTGTCTAGCACATAAGAGAAGCATAGTAAGACCTGGATGGAAAATCCAAACCCAAAAAAAGTATTTTAAAAAGGAGTAGTATGTTACAAGTTGGGGTGATATTGTACATAATTTTCCAGCAGTATTTGCATCTTGGCTTTTACTTGATTAACCGTAGATATATAACTAAATACCTTTATCTGATCCTGTTTGACTACACTATGCAAATAGTTTGTCTTCAGACAGTTGCTGCATCACCTAGATTACATAACAGACAATTATGTTTTAATTGACTTCTATTGATGAGTTATAGCAATTAGAAAGCTGGGGAAACCATATACAGGAAACAGCTCACAACACTGAGTGCCTATAAAATGGTGCTGAACAAAGTAATAAACAGACTGCTTGTTTGAACCTTCTTTTTGAGATAGTCTTCTAAGTAAGTATAGTTATTAAGGCCTTGTGCTATTTAGGCTTTGCTGTTCTGTACATGTGGCCCAGTTGTAGAGTGTAATATTAGTGGTGCACAGCCATATCAGTTTGTGTCTAAAGCCACTGAACCCAAGAACAGGACAGTTAGATTGTACTATATTTAAATTGCAATGGCCTGGATTGAGATTAGTTGAGATTAATATGAGCCATTTTACCATGAAGTCCTTGATATAAACTCTTGATAAAGCACTTACTGTCAAGAGCTGAGTGGTGCTGATTGTTTTTAAATTCTTTGTACTTCTTTCACAGCTACACAGAGCATGTCACTTATTAGCTGATCATGCCTATCATCACTCCATCACTTCTCTTCCCCAAAGCTCTCAAGCTTTGTTTGTTTCTCTCTTCACATTTGTATTTTTGATTCTATACTTCTCTGGACATAGTTTCTGAAGAAGCAATGGATAGCTGCTGTATTCCCCTGAGAGCCTATGAATGTCTCTGCTTTCCCCACCAGTCACAGAAAAGCAAGAATGTACACTCACTGTTCAACACCGTCTTAATGAAGACATCCTGAAGGTGTTGATGTAAGTTTGTGAGAAAGGGAACTGAAAAAATTAGCTTTTCAGCCTTCTGTCTGCCTTGGTGTGTCAAGGGTTCTGGAAAGTAGGCCAGAAATCTATGAGAAGTTTTTGAATTGCAAAAGTCCTGTGCTGCATCAAAGAAAGTTTACATATTCAAAAAGCAGACAGAAAAGAACTGAGAAAGAAAATATAGAACGTCTGTCCTTGGGTTTCTTTACTACCTGAAACAGGTCAGTTGTAGTGGAGTGAAAGTGCTGGTTTTGCTGTGGGTTTTTCAGCAGAGGAGGAGCTGTTCTTGCACATGCAAGCTCACTTCTCCATGGCTACAGGGATTGGGAGTTATTTTACCGATGGATGATAGACAATTGGGTCAGCAGAAAGTGTTCTAGGAATTGCAATTAGTACCTGGGGATAAAGGTATATGAGAATGCTTTCTCTTGAATTAGAATAGCATTAGTAGTTTAGTGTTTATTTGGGCTTTTGTTTTCGGGGGTTTTTTAGATTTGTTTTGTTTCATTTGTGTGGAATTTCAGGGTTTTTGTAAAAAACAAGTTTCAGTTCATGATGTTATATGACTGGGAGAAGCATTTTGTATTAGGAGATTTTTGCAGATTTTCTGGGGCTTGATGTTCATGTTATGTACAAGGTATTCTGTAACATGAACTATTGTGTGTTAAATCTCATAAATATCCCAAATGCATGAGGAAGTGCCTAGTGTTTTGGGCTTTTGGAGAAGGAAATTGCTTTTTTAGTTTTAGTTTGGTCTAGTTATTGGTTAACTCTAAATATTGTTACAAATGAAACTGTGGAAAAGAGTCTTCATACAATTGGCTTTCATGCATTATAGAAAATAAAAAAAATTGTGCCTTCTATGAAACTTCTGATGCATCTTGGTCTACTGTTTAACGTATTCTAATTTATTTGATTTGACCCCCTTCATCTGAAATATTCCAACTCTTCATTCTTCCACTTCAAGTGAAACATTCTTAAGGTTCACAGTGTTCTGCTTTGGCTAATGATCTTTATTTCCTCTTTTGGTAGGCTGTCTTATCACTACAGAGGAGTATCCTTGTGGGATAGGGCCAATAAACTACTTACATTTGTAAATCCAAGCCAGAAAAATCATCTTATCTACATGAAGAAGGTACATGAGGTACAGCTGAGGACCCTCCTAGTGGACTTCATGAGTCCATGTCCTGGTGTCTCAGTGCTCCAAATGAAATAAGCAATACCACTGAAAAAGAATAACCTCCAGTGCACACATGTATGCATTTATAGCTACAGACAGTACAGACATTTCCTGCTGTAGGTAAAGGATGTACCATTTTTAAACAACATGCTTACACAATATAGTTATGGTTTGAGATGAAAGATACTTGTATGCTGACCAGACTCTCACGTTCTTTATAAGCTGACTTGGCCATGTGCTTTTCTTCTTTATATGTCTGTCACGGATAACATTTTGGAAATAAACTTTGTAGATGCTTAGAAGACACAAACAATATTTCAGCAGGAAAGTCTTTACAGGAAGAGGTAGAAACAGGTGGAAGATCAGAAAACTTTGGAAACAAGTAGAAGCAGGGAAGGAATAATGAGCTCAGAAGGTAAAAATGGCTAAGAGAAGAATTTTTTTAACACTGAACATTGGATACAATTTTGTGACGGTATTCCTCAGGCAATGTCAATGCAAAAAAAAAAAAAAAAAAGGTATGCTTTCTCCTGGAGGGATGGATATCTAATACATGCTTCTATAGTTGTTCAGAATCCTAGGAAACAGAGAGAGATTGTACTTATATCTTCATTGGAGGTTGTACTGGGGAAATTGTGAAATTCCTTCTTGCAGTTTAAATCCCTTTCTGGACTCTAATATTTTTATAACATTTTTTCAACATTTTTACAGAAGAATAGGTAATTGTCCCAAAGTAAAAAAAAAGCCCTACAAAGCAGCCTTTCTGTCTGTCTGGCCTCCTGGGTTTGCTCAGTGTATGCAGATAAGCAACTGGAAGAAATAGTGGGAGAGTAAGTGACTATGAACAGGAATGAGGAAGGGTACACAGCCTTTTCATTATCTGAGTCAAGTCTCTTGCCAACTGTTTTTGTTGGTATAGGTTATGCTGAGTCTAAGAATGTCACAAAAGCTTTTCTTTTTTCTTAATTTCTGTGTAGTTGCATGCAAATTCTAAAGGCTCTTATATAAGAAATTAAAAAGTGGGAGTGAAACTTGAATCCAGGGCAGCTGGTAAATCTGTCCTCAGGAGTGCCACAATGCTTTGGAGGAGGGGGAAGAAATGATTCAATAACAGCGAGCAAACACTTAGGAGAAGGCTGGTGAAGATACTGTGTCAGATGGACTTGTTGAGTCCATCAGCTCTTGAGACCCCAGGAGGACACGAGCTTCAGAGCACAATGCGTCTCTAAGGTTAGAGATATGGGTCCCCACAAACAATCCAGTTTCTGCATGCCTGGGCTCCTTCACATTGTCTCACACTACACTGAGAAAGGAACTCTTTAGAATATTTTAACACAAGCAATTGCTGTGGAGAATTTTAAGCATGTTAGGGATGGGCTAGGGAAGGAACTGTGAAAGGCAGGTCTAACCACCCATCTAATTTAGATTCCTGGGGCAATATTTTCTTTGAAGAAATCAATAACCCTCCTTCCAAAGCAAACTGTCATAACAAAAGCCCATTTGACTCCAAAGTTTCTCCTCCTGGCACTCTAGCTACTGGAAAGTGTCAGTTATGTAGAGAAAGTGATTTAAGGTATTGTTTTAATAAAATAAAAAATGTGAGACTAGCTGTTCTGTTGGCAATTCTTCAGTAAATGACAGTTAGAAAAAATGTTCAGGGATGCTTAGCAGAACTTTACTGGCTGTATTTCACTGAAAATGGAGTCAGAGATTCAAAGGTGATGATATCACCAGATCCTGCAAAGTTTAAACTACCAGCCTCCTCATGATTGTAGATCTTGTTAAAAGTT